TATGTCTTATTCTTTAACTGATCAATCTCTTTTCATTTTTTTGTCTGATTTTAGAGAATAATCAACAAAGATCATCATTCAACTTGCAAATTATAAAAAAGAAAAAAAATGGTTAATTAAGCACTTCTCATCTTTCAAGAAAATTTCAACTCAACAGCTTTTAAAAAATAATAATAATTTAGACAATATTCCTGCCACAAAATAACCACCAACTGACTCTCAAATCACTTAAATCAAACTTGGTATTTAATTCTGTTCTGGTATCTAATTCCAGCATGATATCTGATTCATGTTTTCTATCCTATTCATGGTATCTGATTCCATTCATGTTTTCTATCCTGTTCATGGTATCTGATTCCTTTCATGTTTTCTATCCTATTCATGGTATCTGATTCCATTCATGTTTTCTATCCTATTCATGGTATCTGATTCCATTCATGTTTTCTATCCTATTCATGGTATCTGACTCCATTCATGTTTTCTATCCCATTCATGGTATCTGATTCCTTTCATGTTTTCTATTCTATTCATGGTATCTGATTCCATTCATGTTTTCTATTCTATTCATGGTATCTGATTCCATTCATGTTTTCTATCCTATTCATGGTATCTGACTCCATTCATGTTTTCTATCCCATTCATGGTATCTGATTCCTTTCATGTTTTCTATCCTATTCATGGTATCTGATTCCTTTCATGTTTTCTATCCTATTCATGGTATCTGATTCTATTCGTGTTTTCTATTCTATTCATGGTATCTGATTCCATTCATGTTTCCGATCCTATTCATGGTATCTGATTCCTTTCATGTTTTCCATCCTATTCATGGTATCTGATTCCATTCATGTTTCCGATCCTATTCATGGTATCTGATTCCTTTCATGTTTTCTATCCTATTCATGGTATCTGATTCCTTTCATGTTTTCTATCCTATTCATGGTATCTGATTCCTTTCATGTTTTCTATCCTATTCATGGTATCTGATTCTATTCGTGTTTTCTATCCTATTCATGGTATCTGATTCCTTTCATGTTTTCTATTCTATTCATGGTATCTGATTCCTTTCATGTTTTCTATCCTATTCATGGTATCTGATTCATGTTTTCTATCCTATTCATGGTATCTGATTCCATTCATGTTTTCTATCCTATTCATGGTATCTGATTCATTTCATGTTTTCTATCCTATTCATGGTATCTGATTCCATTCATGTTTTCTATCCTATTCATGGTATCTGATTCCTTTCATGTTTTCTATCCTATTCATGGTATCTGATTCCATTCATGTTTTCTATCCTATTCATGGTATCTGATTCATTTCATGTTTTCTATCCTATTCATGGTATCTGATTCCATTCATGTTTTCTATCCTATTCATGGTATCTGATTCATTTCATGTTTTCTATCCTATTCATGGTATCTGATTCTATTCATGGTATCCGATGATCCTATTTATGGTCACTGATTCTATCCTTGGTATCTGATCCTGTTCTTGGTATGTGATTCTATCCTCGGCATTTAATTCCTTATATGGTATTCAATCCTATGTGTGGAATTCTCTCCATAGTATCTATTTTTATCCGTGGTATCTGATTCTATTCGTGGTATGGAATTCTATTCATGGTATCTGCTCCTATTCGTGGTATTTGATTCTGTTCATGGGATTTAATTCTTCTCGTGCTATTTAATTCAATTCGGGGTATCTGATTCATGGTACATAATTTTGTTCATGGTATCTTCTTATGTCCATGGTATCTAACACTATTCATGGTGCAAGATTCTATTCACGGTATCGAATTATATTCATGGTATCTATTCTATTCATGGTATCTGATTCTGTTCATGGTGCAAGATTCTATTAATAGTACAAGATTCGACTCATGGTGCAAGATTCTATCAATAGTACAAGATTCGATTCATGGTGCAAGATTCTATTCATGGTGCAAGATTCGATTCATGGTGCAAGATTCGATTCATGGTGCAAGATTCTATTCATGGTGCAAGATTCGATTCATGGTATTCAATTCTATTCATGGTGCAAGATTCTATTCATGGTATCTGATTCTATTCATGGCGTGGAATCCTCTGCTCCTTCCCCCTCAGGACAAGAAGGACATAGAGAAAGTGGGCGCGACCCCCCTGGCCGACAACTCTCCGGCGGATCGCTATTTGTACAACATCATGGTCCACACCGGCGCCTTCCCGAGTTCCGGCACGGAGTCTAAGGTGGGCGGGGGGGTTGGGCGTGGGCGTGGGGATGGGTTGGTGGGTGGGGGGAGGGGTAGATCTATGGGTTGGCGGGTGGGTGGGTGGGAGGAGGGGGGAGGATAGGGGAGTGTGTGGGCGGGTGTGTGGAAAGGGGGAGAGTGGGGGAATGTGAGTGTGTGGGCGGGTGGGTGGAAGGGGGAGGGTGGGGGAGTGTGAGTGTGTGGGCGGGTGGGTTGATGTGGATGGTGGGTGGGGTATAGGTGTGGTAGTGTAGGCGGGTGGGTCAGATGGGT